TTATAAGGACTACAGATTTAAAAGAAGTAGAAATTGAGTGTTATAAGGACTACGGGGTTAAAGGAAGCTGAAATTGGGTGTTATAAGGACTACAGTGTTAAAGGAAGTAGAAATTGAGTGTTATAAAGACTACAGTGTTAAAGGAAGTAGAAATTGAGTGTTGTAAAGACTACAGAGTTATAGGAAGCATAAATTGAGTGTTGTAAACACTACAGAGCTAAAGGAAGTAGAAATAGGGTGTTGTAAGGAGTGAGGAGTTAAAGGAAGCAGAAATTGAGTTTTGTAAAAACTACGGAGTTACAGAGAGATGTAATTGAGTGTTATAAATACACATAGTTAAATAGCGCAGAAACTGGGCATGCTAAAGACTTCAGAGTTAAAGGTGGACCAGGATCTGGGGCTCATTGAGCACTTCCCATAAAAGTTTTGATTAATTCATATTTCAAGGATGCATTTTAGCACTTACCTGAATTTAGTTTTGTATCATTTCACATTTAATTGGAGAGCTGATATTTAAAAATGTAGGTGTCACTTGGCCTTGGAGCCATCATAAGGTCCCTGAAACCCCTGCGGCTGCAGGAGGCCTTAATATATCAACTCTAAATGTTAGGGGGTGACAAAACCGTACATTGGTTGGTAGGGGCCTCAAAAAGTAAAGCTACAATGGATCTGCTGGACCTGTTGTGCTATAGGAACACTTTTTAAAAATCAATTAATAATTAGTTGGACTGTGCTTTTTAAATATTTTTAAACTTTTTTTTTTTTTTATTTGGGGGGGGGGGGGAAAATTGCTTAATAAATACTTTAATTAATATTAAAAACACAAAAAAGAAATAACAATTCCGTCCAAAACATTTTTCTCACAAAAAGTACTTTTTTTAAATTTTTTTTTTTTTTTTATTGGGGGGGGGGGGGTAAACTGCTTAATAAATACATTAATTAATATTAAACACACAAAAAAGCAATAACCATTGCGTCCAAAACATTTTTATCACAAAAAGTACTGATGACGTCATTTTACATGTTGAACACGAACAAAACAGATAGCAACTTAGTGTAATCATTAAATTTGCTAAATATTAATTTTTTTTTTTTTACCAGAGTCAAAGAGCAAAAAAAAACTGTATTGCAGAAAAGTTTATAAATTTTAATGAGGTTTAAAAGTGGTTATTTCTATTAATCATATAAGAAGGGCATAATTTATAATTGTGTTAAAAATACGTGAGTTATTTACAAAAGACTTCATCAATTTAATGTGGGATTTTTATCTGAGGGAAATCGTATAAATATAAAGTATACATTTCTCAATACTCAGTTTGATATAAATATTTATTTAGAATTTAAAACTGCTGTAGCTTTCTTCTGATAACTTACAAGTTACATCTACGATCCAATTGAAGTTTGTTTTTCAAAATCCATAGAATTTATTTTTAAATTGACGATTTAAAAGAAAATTTGTTGTTTCTAACAATAGAAACTCACACCCAACACCCCCCCCAAAAAAAAAAAAAAAAAAAAAAAAANNNNCGACACCTCAACACCCCGACACCTCAACACCCCGACACTTCAACACCCCGACACCTCAACACCCCGACACCTCAACACCCCGACACTTCAACACCTCGACACCTCAACACCCCGACACCTCAACACCCCGACACTTCAACACCTCGACACCTCAACACCCCGCCCCCAATGGAATTTACATGATAAACGAAATACTAATTCACAAAAGCATTTTTAAAAAAAATTCTTATCTACTGGATTCTCATCAAGTAAAAATAAGTTTAAAATACAAAATACATGCAAATAGGTAGGTTAGGTACATTGTTTACCATTATTTTTTTTATTAAAAAGAGAAAAGCAGTTGGCAAATTAATATATAGAGACTAGGTATTGAAAAATTCTTAAATGTTCTTCAGGAAAGTATGCCACAAAAGTAGCACATTTAAATCGAAAGTGTTTGCATTTTCTTTAAGAACAATTCATGAAACATGCGCTGTTTGTACGTGACCGTTAAATTCTTTATTTCTGTTGAGAAAAATGATCAGTTGTTTTAGAGTTTTCATTTGATCTGGCACAACATTCATAGAACCTAGTAAGTTGAAAATGATGCTAATAGGTATATTTTATTAAGAATGATGCCATCATACAATTTTTAGTCAACACACTGCCCTACAGTAAAGCTATTTATTATGAAATATAATTTGAAAAGAGATTGCCAATGTTTGATACCTAGCACGCAATATGTTGTTCGTCCGTCGAGGATCGACGATGACCATCGAGTCGTCTGGTGACTGATGACTTGCGCGGGTGACTTTTGTTTAAAGTGAGGAAGAGTTGCGCAGCGTCAACCTCACTCTCTCGTCCGAGCCCACCATATCCAGTGGCAAGACTCAGCGTGCAATATATTGAAATTATAAACGTACAGGTACTCAAATGCCTGATGTTAAATGTCTTTAAACTAGTGAATTTGCACACATATAATATCTATATATATAATTCGCCAGCAAAGGTCAAACACCACCACCACGCAGGCTATTTATAGATAATGAGTTCACTAGCGCGCAAAATATAATTCCCGATAACTGCGCTAAATCATTGTATTATTTGTTTAATAACGCTACTTCGTTTGGTGCGTAATATTTTTCGATAAATGAAATCGTCTAAATTGAGGTATGGGGTAAACAAAAAAAAAATATTCAGTTTAAAAGTGTTTGGGACATCAGAATATTTAATATAGTTCATGGGCGTGAGTTCATGTTTTGGTTAACATGTCAGTGAGAGACTAGATTTAGCATATCAGTGAGAGACTAGAGTTACTGTATCAGCTTAGAGACTAGAGTTACTGTATCAGCTTAGAGACTAGAGTTAATGTATCAGCTTAGAGACTAAAGTTACTGTATCAGCTTAGAGACTAGAGTTACTGTATCAGCTTAGAGACTAGAGTTACTGTATCAGCTTAGCGACTAGAGTTACTGTATCAGCTTAGAGACTAGAGTTACTGTATCAGCTTAGAGACTAGAGTTACTGTATCAGATTAGAGACTAGAGTTACTGTATCAGCTTAGAGACTAGAGTTACTGTATCAGCTTAGAGACTAGAGTTACTGTATCAGATTAGAGACTAGAGTTACTGTATCAGCTTAGAGACTAGAGTTACTGTATCAGCTTAGAGAATAGAGTTACTGTATCAGCTTAGAGACTAGAGTTTGTGATGCCCACATCGGTCCTTGACCTTGTCGTCCTTATTAGGCGAAAACTACACACATGCAGAAGACCCATGCACAAAATAATGAAAATAAAGTTTTTGATGTGGAACTAAAATGCCACCCCAAAGTAAGTGTCACCGGGGAGAGGGGGGACCACTCTCATTTTGCCCGTTCCATAACATTTCACAAAAGACGCAACATTGATTTCTGTCATAAGAAATTCGTCCGTCCAAGGAGCTCGCCTATACAAATGGTGACGTAGTAGAGATACTGTGTGAACTGCAGAAGGGAGAATGTGTGAACTGCAGAGGGGAGAATGTGTAAACTGCAGAAGGGAGAATGTGTGAACTGCAGAAGGGAGAATGTGTGAACTGCAGAAGGGAGAATGTGTGAAATGCAGAAGAGAGGGTGTGTGAACTGGGAATGTAAACATGAAATGCCCAAGTAAGCCTAGAAATTGGGAAGCCTTGCCAGAAAGTTGGACACCTATTTTTTCAAATATCGTTAACTAGTTAAAGCCCATCAAACACTGGCGGTAACAATGCGTGAACTTCCCATCTACTAAAGTTACTTAAGAAAAACGTGAACTCAAGTTACGCACATTTAAGAATGTCAATTTTTGCTACCCCCCCCCCTTTTTTTTTTTTCATGCTAGTCACGGCACACTTTTTATTTCACGCCAACCCGCGGCTTAGCATACGCCGCGAGCTTGCTGGCAAGCGAGGGTGGTGCAGGAAAGGGGGGGGGGGCGGTAGCTACATCGCAGTGCGCATGTCTCGAGACCAACGATGGGCAGGGAAGGGAGGGGAGGGTTTACCTGCGTCTTGCTTGCTTGCTCTGGCGTATTATATATATAGATGGATTGATGCTGATTCGACTGTTCCATCAATTTTACCCAAATGTTGAGTTTATTCTTTGGTGTGTGCTTAGTCACACAACACATTGAATGGTAATATTTCAACCTGTCATTCACCTTTATCTCTGCTTAAATTCTTCTTAGCTTTTCAAAGAAAACATTTTTCAAATGAATTCTTTAAATGATTAAAGTTTGTGTCTTGCCAAGATGCACCAATACAATCAAGTTTTAAAATAACAATCAAATTGCACCATGACAAGCAAGTTGTTCCATGACAATTAAGTTGTTCCATGACAATCAAGGTACACCATGACAATCAAGGTACACCATGACAATCAAGGTACACCATGACAATCTGCTAATACATTATTTTACTAAATAAAAAAAACTGAAGTCAAAACTGAAGCCATTATGTTTGACCGGAAGTGCACACCAAAATAGCACTACTACGCAGGTGAGCTTTCAGTGGCGGAACTCAGCGGATTGCGATAATTATCTCAACGTCTCTCTCCCCCACCCCCCACTTTTTCTTTGTTTTAACACCATTTATTCCATCCCCCCCTTCCTTAAGACGATCGCGTGATCGGTACCCGTCTCTTTCCACTCGCTACGCGTTTGTGAGTAGTCTAAGTCCCGCCAAAGTAGTCTTGAGTCTCAATCAGTGGCGTAGCGAGGGTGTTTGGCGCCCGGGGACAAGATTCGCGCCCGGGGACAAGATCCATTATTAAAGCGCCCCCTTTTCTTTTTTTCAACCCTCAAACCCATTATTTTTACCAATAATATAATATCAAAGCACATTTTGGCGCCTCTAACTAGCTTGCGCCCGGGGACATCTGTCCCCCCCGCCCCCACCACGCTACGCCTCTGGTCTCAATCACATGAAAACACCTTGCATTTTTTTCTTTTTTTAAATTGTAAATTTATTTCAATTTGTGTTTTCTTTTGTCTTTTTTTTTCTTTCGTTATCTATTGGATCCAGTGCATTTTAGAGGTGCTAGGTTTTTCTTCCGGTTTTTGTATCCCCTCGGGCAAGGGCGTGCCGGGATAGGGGTCCGGCACGTAATGGGGGACCGTAAACATGCGACACCGTGTGCTTGGATCTTCAGGGCCCCCGCTCGTGTCATAGTTCTCTATGGTGAGACGATGATCTTTGGGTCTCGGGTAAGGTACAAGGTGGTAGGTCGTCGGGGCTGGGGAGAGATAGAAACATGGAACTTCTGATAGAATTGAAAGTTTGTGTGTTTCGTTGTTATTTTGTGTGTGTGTATGAGAGAGAGAGAGAGAGAGAGAGAGAGAGAGAGAGAGAGAGAGAGAGAGTGAGTGTGTGTGTGTGTGTGTGTGTGTGTGTGTTTGTATGTGTGTGTGTCTGTGTGTGTGTCTTTGTGTGTCTTATATATATATTTAGATATTGTGAGAGAGAGAGAGAGAGAGAGAAGGTGTATGTATGTGTGTGTACGTGTGTTTTAATATGTTGGTGTCTGTTTATGCGTCATTCTTTGTCTCATAGATACAATTTTATATTTAGTGAGAGAGAGAGAGAGAGAGAGAGAGAGAGAGAGAAGGTGTATGTATGTGTGTGTACGTGTGTTTTAATATGTTGGTGTCTGTTTATGCGTCATTCTTTGTCTCATAGATACAATTTTATATTTAGTTCCTTTGTGATACAACGCCACAAGAAGGGTAGGCTCACTGACTGCACCGTCTGACACTCTCAAGGACGGTAGGCCTACTGACTGCACCGTCTGACACTCTCAAGGAGGGGGGGAGGGGGAGAGCAGGCCTACTGACCGCACCGTCTGACACTCTAAAGGAGGGGAGGAGGGGGAGAGCAGGCCTACTGACGGCACCTTCTGGCACTCTCAAGGACGCTAGGCCTACTGACCGCACCTTCTGACACTCTCAAGGACGTTAGGGCTACTGACCGCACCGTCTGACACTCTCAAAAAGGTGAGGGGGGGGGTGGACACCAATAGGAAAATCCCCCCTAGATGGTTTCACAGTTGTGTAGATTTAACTACAAAAGAAGGGTTTCACCACAGCAGGGTCTCACCACAGCAGGGTCTCACCACAGCAGGGTCTCACCACAGCAGGGTCTCACCACAGCAGGGTTTCACCACAGCAGGGTCTCACCACAGCAGGATGTCATTATAGCAGGATATCATCAGAGCATGCATAAAATAAAGCTCATGTATAATGGTCATATGACATAGAGTCAGAGCAATACAAACATAGATCTACTTATTTGATATTTGACATACTCCATAGAGTCATGGCAATAAAGTCGTATTAATGATTGATTTTTTCCCCAGCTTTATTGTTGCAATAAAATAACTTTGAAGTTTGCTCTTAAAAAATGTGTGGTGACTGAGAATATTTGTCAGCAAATTTTATTTTTATTAAGTTGTCACTGTTGGGTGCCCCCCCCCACCCCCCCTCACCCCCCCCCCGTTAGGTTGTCACCCGGTGCGGTCCGCACCACCTGCACCCTCCAAATGACGGTATTGGTTGTACCCCAAACCCTTAAAAGTGTTCCAGATTCAATTGACAATACTCACTGGATCCCTGACCTAGTTCCTCCTTTTGGTTTTGTGTGTTTGCTGTGTTGTTGGGATATGTTGGGGTTGGTTCTACTCAGTTCAATGCCCAGCCAGAAGCACAAGGGCACTTCTAACTCCTTCTCTCGGTAACCTGTGTGATAGCTCTTTACCCAGCCAGAAGAACAAGGGCACTACTAACTAACTCTTTCTCTTGGTAACCTGTGTGATAGCTCTTTACCCAGCCAGAAGCACAAGGGCACTTTTAACTAACCCTTTCTCTTGGTAACCTGTGTGATAGCTCTTTACCCAGCCAGAAGCACAAGGACACTTCTAACTTACTCTTTCTCTTGGTAACCTGTGTGATAACTCTTTACCCAGCCAGAAGCACAAGGACACTTCTAACTTACTCTTTCTCTTGGTAACCTGTGTGATAACTCTTTACCCAGCCAGAAGCACAAGGACACTTCTAACTTACTCTTTCTCTTGGTAACCTGTGTGATAGCTCTTTACCCAGCCAGAAGCACAAGGACACTTCTAACTTACTCTTTCTCTTGGTAACCTGTGTGATAGCTCTTTACCCAGCCAGAAGCACAAGGACACTTCTAACTTACTCTTTCTCTTGGTAACCTGTGTGATAGCTCTTTACCCAGCCAGAAGCACAAGGGCACTACTAACTAACTCTTTCTCTGGGTAACCTGTGTGATAGCTCTTTACCCAGCCAGAAGCACAAGGGCACTACTAACTAACTCTTTCTCTGGGTAACCTGTGTGATAGCTCTTTACCCAGCCAGAAGCACAAGGGCACTACTAACTAACTCTTTCTCTGGGTAACCTGTGTGATAGCTCTTTACCCAGCCAGAAGCACAAGGGCACTACTAACTAACTCTTTCTCTGGGTAACCTGTGTGATAGCTCTTTACCCAGCCAGAAGCACAAGGGCACTTCTAACTAACTCTTCCTCTTGGTAACCTGTGTGGATATGATCTAAGCTCTTTGCCTAGCCTACTCAGATACAGCACTTAGCTAGTTGTTTCACTTGGTACCCTGTTTAAATGTCTTCTCTGCCAGCCCCCAGTCAAAATGCCAGTAGCACAGATACAATACTTACTTGCCCCTTCACTTGCTACCCTGTTTGGATGTCTTCGCAGCTCTTTGCCTAGCCAGTAGCCCGGGTAGCTATGTCGTTGGGTGGACTGTGTTGAATATTTGAGTGTGTCCTGGAATTTACTCCTCCTCGGGCCTAGAGCTTTCATTTCTTTACTCGTAGTCCAGTTGACGACATCTGGTATAGAGGATACAGTGTTACAACTATGTCAAACCTAGGATTCAGACAATGAGCAGATATATTGTATGGCCAATTGGTGACATCTGGTATAGAGGATACAATGTTATAACTAAGTCAAACATAGGATTCAGACAATGAGCATAAATATTGTATGGTTCAGTTGGCGATATCTGGTTTAAAAAAACACTCTATTGAACATTTGTTAGGAAACTATAGGGCCTTTGTAGAACAAATAGTAGAAAATTGAAAAAAAATATGTTTTATTTTTAAACTGAATTTCAAATAAATGTTTAAAAAATTAAAGAAACATTAAATGACTTGAAATTCACATCGATGAAAATATTACAGGAAGACATTAAAAAAACAACAACAAAAAAAAGACATTTCTATCATATCTTAAAATTAAATTCAATATCTCCTCTGTTATTGTAAGCCATTTCCCCCGCACCCGCTACAATGCTACTTTGTACTTATTAGGGTGTGATCACCTCATGCTGGGTAACCCGGTCTGAAACTATGCAACTAGAGGACCTTATCAAACAGTTTACTTTCAAATAGAGTCGTGTATCTAAAGTCGGTTTCACATAGATCAATAGACTGGTGTGAACAGTCAGTTATACATAGGTCAATAGACTGGTTTGAACGGTCCGTTATACATAGATCAATAAACTGGTGTGAAGAGTCAGTTACAAATAGAGCGATGGACTCGTGTGAACAGTCAGTTATATATAGATCAATAGACTGGTGTGAAGAGTCAGTTACAAATAGAGCAATAGACTCGTATGAGCAGTCAATTACACATTCATCAAAAGACTGGTGTGAACAGTCAGTTATACATAGATCAATAGACAGGTATAAAGAGCGAGGAGTTAAAAAACCACATACATGACATAAGTGACCAAATATATGACACAAATAACCACACATATGACAGAAATAACCACACATATGACAGAAATAGCCACGCATATGACAGAAATAGCCACACATATGACAGAAATAACCACACATATGACAGAAATAGCCACACATATGACAGAAATAGCCACACATATGACAGAAATAGCCAGACATATGACACAAATAGCAACCAATATGACACAAATAGCAACACATTTGACAGAAATAGCCACCCATATGACACAAATAGCCACGCATACGACATAAATAGCCACACACATAACACAAATAACCACATATAAGATCGAAATAGCCACACATATGACCGAAATAGCCACACATATGACACAAAAAGCCACACATACGACACAAATAGCCACAAATATGACACAAATAACCACATATATGACAGAAATAGCCACACATATGACACACATAACCACACAGCTTACTGATTGCCTCCAGCATCTCTGTCATTTTTTTCTCTCTGTGCATGGGCGGGTCGTCAGGGATGACAAGTAGACGCCTCTGTAAAATAGGCGGAGTTACAATCATGTATTTAAGAACGGAAGCAGTACGTTCAATTCTACCCCTGTCAAAGATCATTTCCTTTAATGTAGCACACCTTTTTGGTTGGGCGTGGCCACTCTCAAACCCTATGGGTCAAAATAACTTCAGTTCCACCAAAAACCTCACCCACTGGGGATGTAATTATAATATATGGTTGAAGAAATCAGTGGCGTAGCTTTCTATCAAATCGCACGGTATCCACCAGTGTCGGGGACAAGGTTTCGAACATGTGTGCACTCTAGGTTGGACTGCCACAGAAGTCGGCCTTGGGCTGCACCCTGTTCCTGGCACACATGTACGTCCTGCAGTCACTCTTGGTAACAAAGAACACAATGTTTGCAGACGATTTGGCAATTTAAAGCTGTAGCAAATCCATTCAGCACTTGCAGAGCCGGCTGCGAAGTGATCGCACCAAAATACAAGATTACGCTCGGAGATGGAGATTGGTGGTGAATGGGGAGAGGACCGTCTATTCATTATTTACCGATGGGAGGAATGCTCCCAAGGATGTGATCGGCCTCCATATCTGCGGGAAGCCACTCAAATGGGACAAGTCACCCACGTATTTGGAAATAAAGTTGGACCAGAAACTCCAACTGCATAACCACTTGCGGGAACACATGGTGCTAGAACCACGTCCAAACTCAGCCTGGTTAAAAAAAAACTTGCAAGCACCACTTGGGGGAGCTGACGCAAAGCTCTTGAGAACACTATCTCGGGAGCGTTAGAGGTGACTATAGCCTCCCGGTCCAAGCCTTCGCAAGTCGTACGGTTCTAGAGGGATTGGACCGGATACAGAATCTAGCTTTAAGATTCGTATGCGGGGCGTTACGCACTACACCCACGGCTACCGTGGAAATTAGCTCAGACATAGAACCACTCCACATCAGGAGGGACAAGGCTATCCTAACGACCGTAGAGCGTTACCGTCGAATGGAAAGAGCGGAACCCTGTTTCCAAATACAAGACCGCTGGGTGAAGGGAACAAGGCTGAAGAGACCCTCCTTTCTGGATACAGAACATTCACTTGAGAATAAGCAACCTTCACCAGGGAACAGGGAGAAAATACGCCTGATCCAGAAGCGATCACCCCAGGATAGCGGCGAACCACCTGATGTACGTCTGACCCTGTCAAACACGGCGGTTAACAAGTCGAGTCTCCAAAATAAGCAAAAGGGGGCCGTACTAGCGACGATTTAGTCTTATAAGGACGACGTGGTATCAGTCTTAAAAGACTGCTCCTATCTCGCCAGCGAGAAGCGGGCAGGATACTCATACAGTCTCCAAAGGGGGTATCTCCAATAGAGGAGATTTCAGGCCCAAGCGGCACGAATAGCACTGCAACAGAAGCAGAAATCGACGCTATATTAATTGGCCTGAAGCAAGTGCGCCGTCGGCTAGCCAGACGTAAAACATTTACTTCCATCGTGCTGTTTACCGATTCACAATGCACTCTCGAAATTGTGAAGAGGTGCTCTTCGGACGGGAAAATGGCACAAGCTATTGTGGAGCTCGTACGGGACACACAGTACCACGGAGGCAAAGTGACCTTTCAATGGATCCCAGGACACTCGGTCATCCCCCCCCCCCTCAAGACAGAGCTGACTATCTTGCGAAACAATGTCTTCGGACGGGAAAATGGCACAAGCTATTGTGGAGCTCGTACGGGACACACAGTACCACGGAGGCAAAGTGACCTTTCAATGGATCCCAGGACACTCGGTCATCCCCCCCCCCTCAAGACAGAGCTGACTATCTTGCGAAACAATGCTCCTCCCAGCCTCAACCTAACCGACCAATGACCCAACTAGGGCCAACGCCTGGATTAAGGAAATCCATGAGCAGTTACATCCGGAACAGTGATAAAAGCTTCACTGTGCCTCGGTGTAACACAGTTCAATATAAACAACCATTCTTTCCACGAACAATAATTGCTTGGAACCAACTGGACAATGCCACCATGGACTCGACATCAATCGAGAGTTTCAAGGCTGCCCTGGGATCCGCTAGGAGCGGTTAGGATAGCCGCATCGTTTGTCAAATAGTTGCACATATGCCAGTACTTGGTTGCAGCGACGCAGTCAATCAGAATCAGAATCAAAATCTTCTATTTGGAATGGATTAAAGAATGGGAACAGGTTACCACTACCCGTAAACTTTACCGGAGCATGCCGAAAACTAACCACAAGGCCGATCAATGGTGGAGTCTTAAACGCCACCAGCAGAGCCTCATCACCCAGATGGTGGAGTCTTAAACGCCACCAGCAGAGCCTCATCACCCAGATGGTGGAGTCTTAAACGCCACCAGCAGAGCCTCATCACCCAGATGGGAACGGGTCTACCTGAAAAGGTTACACCCACTGCGAGACCCGAGCTGCTGTCACTGTGGACAGGCCCCGGAAACAGTAGAGCTCACCTTCTAGCCGAGTGCTCAACATTAGCGAATGGTATGACTGGGGTGCTCCCAGCCAACCACGTCGAAAGCCTGATTTACGGGACTGTCCAGCAGATGAGGCAGGCCTGTTCCTTACTTGCCGGGGCCATTAAAGAGCAATAGCTCGGTCCTTTGCAATGAAGGTAATATTTCAGTGGCGTAGCTAATGTTAATGCCGCCAGGGGCGGGCCAAGATCCTTGCTGCCCCCTTCCACGAAAAAAATACAAAAAACAACAACTCCAAAGTTGCTCGAAAATGCCGCCCCTTCATAAAGAAACAATTGCCGCCCGGGCGGACCACCCCCTGTTCACCCCTTTCTCACGCCACTGGCACACATATAAGTTTACACTGTCATGATCACCCACAGTCATCAGCGCCCTACGGTACTTTTGGCAGGCCTTTCCATTTGTGTCACTTTAGTATTTTATTTACAAGCGAGTAGTTGAGAAATTTCAAGAGGGAGAAGGGGGTCACCTTGCACCCCCTTCCCACGCGCCCTTGCTTTATGCTGAACACATGAACTGATTGTTATGTTTAGCAATATTCTTAAATGTAACTTAATCAGTATATATAAACTATAATCATTTCAAAAGTAATCAGTGGGTCATTATAATCATTTCTACTTTATCTTTATTAATTCATAACTATTATGAAAACTAAATTCTAAACCAGGAGTCTTCCCCACTTGACCTTGTGCTACTCCAGTTTTGTAAAGGTCAATATCTTAAAGACCAATCACGTGGAGTGTATCTCAAGTTGTCTGAAGGCTCAGTCAACGTACTGACAAGAGAGCACTGAATTTTCTTATTATACACCATGGACAAATGAGTCTGCACCAATCGGAACCAAACTGATTGTGTCTTGGGACATGTATGGCCTCAATACGTGCAACACCCTCTGCCCTACTAGTGCGTAAACTGGTGCCTGATGTGGAACACTATCTGACTTAGTAGTGTGTGAAACTGGTGTCTGATGTGGAACACCATCTGATTTAGTAGTGTGTGAAACTGGTGTCTGATGTGAAACACTCTCTGACTTACCAGTGTGTAAAATTGGGGAGGGTACGGCACACCCTCAGGCACCCACGGCCGTGCATTCCTTGATGGTTCTGGAATCCAGCGAGGTCTTTGCTTGTAGTAGCGGGGAGGCGGTGGCTTCAGTTGGACGCCATTGGTCGTTCGAGGATATTTGTGACCGAGTGTAAAACACTGCATGGTGCCAACTCTCTGGGAGGACCAAAAATAATAAATGTCAACTTCCTCTTTTTTTTTTTTTTTGTCTCGGTTGATTGGGCAAACTTAATTACTGATTAATTTTACAAGTTGTTTGCACGAACACAATAACTAATTATTGAAACAGTTGTCTGTCCGAGTGTAAAACACTGCATGGTGCCAACTATCTGGGAGGACCAAAAATAATAAATGTCAACTTCCTCTTTTTTTTTTTTTTTGTCTCGGTTGATTGAGCAAACTTAATTACTGATTAATTATACAAGTTGTTTGCACGAACACAATAACTAATGATTGAAACAGTTGTCTGAGCAAGCACAATCCCTGAAAATGTATAAGAATACTAAACAGTCGATCTTCGGAGCATTTATGTGAATATACAAAATTGTGTTGTAACAGATCTTTATATTAAAAAATCTGGTTTATCGGAACAAATAAATTTAATATTTTTTTTTTTTTACTATATACATAATTTGTAATCCCTCGTTCGTCTACTTACCCTAATACAGACCCTCAATGAATTTCCATGCAACGGCTAAAGATGTGAAGATCAAACAGACGCGCCAAATACACAAGACATCCCAATATCGGAAGTAGTGGTCGCGTCACAACATTGTGTTCTTCGTCACAGCCCCCGCCATTTTATTCAAAATATGATATTATCTTTTTTAAAAATAATTTTCCATAGATACAAAAGTATTTCAAATTGAATCTTATTTTTAAAAATATGCATCCGTCTGCGCTACACAGAATATTTATATTTCCTTTTTTAAAAAAAATTTAAGGCATAGCAAATAGCAATACATATTGCTGAAAGAAATAGTTTAAACTCTAATTTTTTTTAAAAACAAAAGTTTAAAATCAATACTAAGGTGTCACGAAGCATATTGCATTATAAACTTTAGTTTATACTATACTAGTTATAGTTATAGATATGTTAACTCTAGTCTCTCACTGATATGTTTATTCTTTTATCACACAAGCTGATGCCTGGGAATCGAATAATATGCCAAGGTCAATACCATTCCTAAAGATATAGCTGTTGTAGAATAAGTTTCACTTTACGCTACATATTTCACCAGCACCCGTCCAGTGACGTAGAATTAGGACGGCTCGGTTTGGCCCGGTTCTTATTTTTTATTGATGGTCGGCACATTCGGCCAAATGTAGATTTTATTTCTGGGAAAAGTGTCGGCAAAAATCTTGAATCGCCCCGGTCGGCACTTATCCTAACTACGCCACTGCACACTACCCAAGTTTCACCCCCTGCAAATAGCACTTGCCATCCCTCGCTGGTAATGAATTACTTCATGAACAGTGTTTACACAAACGTATTCCTCCAAGACTTGCTAATACTAATAGACAAGCTTGTGACTTGAACGCTGGATGTCGTGAGAATGCTTAGATACATTGCGGCAAAGAATAGTGAAAACAAGACGGTTAAACCCACGACCATGCACAGAGTATCGTGATTAACTTCATAATAATTATTACATTTATTCTCTGCTTATTATGCCAGGGCCGTCGCGTGACATTTTGAGACCATCTTTCAATTCAAAATACTCCCTATTAATTTTTTTCCACATCACAACCTTAGGGCCCTTAAATATCCAAAAGTTTTTGAGTGCCCACTCGACAGCGCTGATTACAAATCACAAATCTTAATGAGAACTAGTCTAAGAAGTCCCTGACCCATGTCAGGAGAATTCATTGAATGGCTGTTTTTTTTTCACTAGTGAAATAATTTAATGTAGATGTCTTGTGTTCAAATTGTTTTATTTATGTGCTGAAAATGTACAATGCAACCAAAAAACATTTCTATTTGTTTGGATCAATAAAATAATCCTATCTTATCTATCTTATTATAGGCTACATGCTACATACATGTAATTATTTGATTTTTCTGTTTGTGTTATCATTTAATTTTCAATGCACATAGGTATTTTACTTTCAAATGATTGAGCATGATCACCATGCTAGCTGAATCTGGGAATAGCGCATCCCTGTAAATCGAACCATATTTGCTTTGGGGCCGTCCATTAAATACGTCACCTTATTTTTTAACAATGTTTACCACCCCTCCCCAGTTACAAATCTTGGACACCCCCCCCCCCCAATCCCTAAGGCAAATCACACTTTCAAACAATTTTTTAAACTACAAATTAACAACTACTTAACATTTAATCTAAAACACAATTTACTATTAAGCTATTAAGTGTATAAATGACGTCTTCAGTCAGAATGCACGCATCACCACAATAGAAAGTTAAAACGTCACTGTCAATTTTAGGTTTTATGTGTAGGCCCATGAAGACAAAAAAATTAATGTGTGACGTCACATAGTATTATCATCTTNGCGGTTACAAGCTGTCACACTTTCTTGCAAACCCCCCCCCCCCGAGCGTGATATACTTTATGGACGGCCCCCTTGGTACTAAGAATTTGTGCTGTTCTTACTTATAATTGCAAAATATTTTTGAGACATGCAGATAGGGCCTATTATGAGGTTTTAAAAGGCCATCAAAACTTGAACAAGTCAAAACATTTGATAATCGGCACTTTAAGTATTTTGAAATCGCTACAAATTTATAGCGGCAATGCGTATCCGGGTCCATCTTGACTAAATGCTAAACGGATGTCATTCGTGGTAGTTTATTTTAGTTAAACTGAAGAATTAAGTTTACAAACATATAGGCCATTCAATTATCTTTCATTCGATACCAAATTTTATCTTACAAACCAAACAATAATACTTTAAACACAAATTAATCCCAACTGCCTCTCACTTCGGTAGACGGGTCCGAATAGCCACTTCGTTCTAAATACTATTGATTAATATTGAACTTGAGACGAATGCTTTAGATATAAACGATTTAGTTGGAAAAAATATATAATTTATGACGTAAGAAATGTAAACTGATCTACAAATTACAAATATTATATGTTTACAAACAATATTTTTATTAATTTAATGGGGCTTAAGCAACACATTGCATAAACATGTCAATGTGCATTGGTCCGTGAAGTTGTCGAATTTTTTTCCTGATGGAGTGAAAACGTATTTTATATGAAATTCATTAAAAAAATTCAACCAAGAATGCATATTCCACATAAGTTTCTAAGTATATCTAGCGTATTATTGTTTGTATAGTCATTGCGTTAATATTTCTCTGCAATAACTACGACCACGCATCAGTTGGTGGTACACTTAGCTTTCAGGGTCCTAAGTATACTGCCGTGATAATCATAGTCTCCTCTGTGAGTAAATATTATTTTAAATCTGCCATGGCATCTCATCGAGTTACTTTATTGTCAATTATATAAATATATTTGAAGTCATAACACTATGATGGATACAATGCTGGGTAAATTTACGCAATGCTCCAATATTGTATACCATAATACTGACATCTGAATACAGAATCCGTATTTTCTAATTTTTCTTTAATCTTTATCGTCTTTAATAAAGACTTTATACTTTAGTTTTAGCTGTTTAGCTACTAATACTATTAATAAACTGTAGTAGACTATGACTCTAGTCTATTATCGTCTATAGTCTATAGTAACTTAACTATACTATACTTAACTGTATAGCTGGCTAACTCTGCTAAGACTAAACTAAGACGAGATAATATTAATTATTATTTTTATAAGATAATATTCTTTGCATCTTTGGCACTCCGAAAGGTGGTCCCAAATGTCAAATAAAATATTTATGTTGATTCCATATTGATCCAAATAAATTAATTAAATGGACATGTTTTTTAAAATTACATTGTTATAATTATATATTATAAATCACTAATTAGGCCTAGGCCTAAGTCATCATTGATTATTCAAGTCCAAGTAATACAGTAGTTCATTGAGGCTGATTTCTACCCTTGTCCTAGAGAAATACTTTAGACTTTAGTCTGGTCTTTAGTTTTAGAGGTGTCTTTTGTTGAAAAATGTGTGTGTTGAGAATGAATATGTACACCTACACAATGACAATTGGCTTACAATTAAATTAGATTTGGTATATGATGGAGGAGCACTCTGGCTGATAAATTTGTACAGACAGGGGAACAAAAGAATATTTTGATTTTTCGTTCATAACTTTAAGAGTAAGAGAAAGAATTTGCCCTGATCGAGCTGATCTCAGGAGTCAGGTATCTGTGAGGATTTATTTTACAACAGCATTTTTTTTTCAAATTCAAATAGTTCGTCAAGATATTAATATTACTAGCTTAATATTCAATTCCTTGAAGACCAAGAAATCATTAATCATAATGTTGATAATTAAATATTCATCGATTGATTATAATAATAAATTATATTGATATTGATAGTTTAAGCTCATTAAATATTTTGAAATGGATAAATAATTGATAATAACAGAGTCATAATAGGCTTTGTCATTTCTAAGACCGGAAAACGTCATAGCGTACTATTTTTAGAAGGTCCGCGGACAAATATTCCTTAAAACATGGCAGCTTATAGTGTGTTTCAGCATATCGTTCGGGCGATCCTTGTATCTAGAGTTACTGTTTCATATGACATTCACGCAATGAAGTCGTATTTGAGAAAACAGAAGTAAAAAAAAAATGTGTAAAATATTTCGTAAAATTGAGTTGTAAACAAGTTTCAGGGACACTTCGCTAACATAGTAATACTGAACAGTGTTAACATTTTGTCCGCGCTGAGTACCCGGATGATCAGTAATGGTGACATTAGTTCTATTAATAGATTTCCGCCATTAAATGACAAGCCCTATTGAATAATTGATTGAATATTATAAAATAAGTTAGATTATTATTATTATTATTATTATTTATTAGCTTATTATATATATAGGCTAAATTTTCCATCCTTAGCCTTCAATTGTACAATTTACAACTTACACGCAACCAGTATTTTCTTTCCGATTATTTGATGCTGGGGGAATTTCATATGTTCAGGAGTGGGGGGGGCAGTGCATTTATAAACACAAAAATAAAAAGTAGACATAATGGCAATCAGCTCTGAAACCAGGGCCCATGCCATACATAAACTGAATTCACACAATTTTTGGTGCCCTGGGGGTATGCCTTCAGTCCCATCTTATTGTCACCCCTGGATACTATAAAGAAAAATATAGTCCAACTATTTTTGCAAAATAAAAGGTATAATACTAACATCTACAGTACAGGTTTATTTGTATAGATACAAAGGTGCCAGTAATGTCACTTTGGGGTGGGGGAAGTGGAAATGAAAGGAGAAGGGTCTGGACTCTGGGGAAGAGTGTGAACCCCAAAATAATGAAGTAATAAAGGGAATAGATGTGAAAATGGTAAAACAATTTCACAAAACTGTTTTAAACTTAATATTTGATACTAATCTAGAGTTGTTTAATTTTTATAATAATGCTTGCAAAATGGAAAGGCATGTTTTTTTTTATTGTTATTCTGTTTTAAAAAAGAGAAAAGCAGTAAAGAAATTAAAATAGGCCTCTATTTCTTTTTAATTTCTATTATTCACTAAACCATGTCACAAAAGTAACAAATATCAAGAAAATGCAAACGATTTTGAGTTAAAAATAATTGATGAAATGTGCACCTTAAGTATGCACAGGATAAATCTTAATTTGTTCAAAAATTTATTGATTTTTTAAAAAGTTTTCATTTTATCAAGCTCTACACTCATGGAATCAACTACATTAAAAATAATGCTATTTTTTATTATTCTGTTTATTTATTTATTTTTGTTTACATTAAGATTCTATTTATAGCCAACCCTTTTTTAAATGTGGATCACATTTTTATTAAGAATTAGAAATTTTAAATAGATTGTAAATGTTTAATTTTTAAGATAAGATAAAATTCGTTTATTGTTCCAAATAAATGTAAATGAGAGTTTTTATTACATTGTACATATTCATTTTAATGAAAGTGTACATGGGTAAATATTTTAATATTTTTTTAGCAATAACCATTGCAAAATATTAGAATTTTATAGGCATTTATATCCAAGGGTTAATCTAAATTATTCCAAATTTTTGGAATTGAATACTATACAGTGGAACCTCTCATAACGAGCACCTCTCATAACGAGTAATTCGCATAACGAGCAAAAAGAAATGTGAAGAAGTTGTTCCCTTAACGAGCGAAATTTCGCATAACGAGTTTCGCCGAAAGGGGAAGTCCCTTTTTCCCGACACTCATTTGTGAGCCGGGACTTCCACGCCAATGCATTAGTCTGTGTTTAGCAATCGGTCTGTTAGCGTATTGTTTTCGTGTGTGATCACCAGTTTTTACAAATTTTGTATTAAGACAGTATTCGTAATTTTTTTATGTGCAAAGTGTAATAACCTGTGCTAAAATGGCTTTGAAGAAAAAACCACAAGAAGACAATCATAAGAAAGAAAAAATAACTGTTGAAATGAAACATAAAATCATTGAAAAGCGAGAACAAGGTGTGAGCATGGCTAATCTAGCGCGCACATACAATCGGTCAACATCAACGATCTGCACTATTCTCAAGAACAAAAACAAAATTAAGGAGATGGATGCTTCAAAAGGAGTGTCAAGAATGTCTACGAACTTACGTATTCTTGATGATGTTGAGAGCTTGCTTCTAATGTGGATAAATGAGAAGCGATTACAAGGCAACACTATTAACGGAAACATTATATGTGAGAAGGCGAAACTTATTTTCGCTGACCTCGTAAAGAAAACACCAGGATCATCTACTGCCGAAAAAGAACTACAATTGAAGGGAAGTCATGGATGGTTCGAGAAGTTTAAGAGAAGAACCGGCATCCACAGTGTTGTAAGGCACGATGTAGCAGCTTGCTCTGACACAAAAGCAGCAGAGAACTTCATTAGTGACTTCAAGAAGCTCATAGATCTTGGGGGTTACCTGCAGCAACAAGTTTTTAATTGTGACGAGACGGGTCTCTTCTGGAAAAAAATGCCAAATTGAACCTATATAACAGCAGAAGAGAATGCATTGCCAGGCCACAAGCCAATGAAAGACCGCCTCACGCTGCTATTTTGTGCCAATGCAAGCGGCGATTTGAAAATTAAACCGCTGCTTGTTTACCATTCAGAAACTCCACGAGCCTTTAAGAAGTGTAATGTCCAGAAGAGCAGACTAAATGTGATGTGGAGATCCTACAAGAAGGCCTGGGTGACACGTGACATTTTCACTGATTGGATCAATGAAGTGTTTGGTCCTTCCGTAAAAAATATTTGCTTGAGATGAATCTTCCTCTCCATGTCTTGGTTGTTATGGACAATGTGCCCACCCATCCTCCAGGCATACAAGATGATATTCATGAAGAATTTAATTTCATCAATATCCAGTTTCTGCCTCCCAACACCACTCCGTTACTCCAGCCTATGGACCAGAAGGTTATTTCTAACTTTAAAAAACTCTACACTAAAACACTCTTCGAGCGTTGTTTTGAAGTTACCGAAGAGACAAATCTCACTCTTAGAGAGTTTTGGAAAGATCATTTTCACATCGTTGCTTGCCTCAAGATGATTGACTAGGCTTGGGAATGAGTTACCAAGAGGACCCTCACTTCTGCTTGGAAAAAACTTTGGCCAGAGAGTGTTGTTGAATGTGATTTTGAAACAGTACCTGTGGAGTCTACAGTTAACGAGATTGTGTCATTGGCCAATATCATGGGACTAGAGGTGGACAACAACGGTATTGAAGAGCTTGTGAAAGAGCACAGTCAAGAGTTGACCACCGAAGAACTTATGGAGTTGTATCGTGTTGCACAGCAAGAAATTATGGATGCGAGCTCATTAGTGGAGGAGGAAGTAGAAGAGCAACAATATTCTAGCGCAATAAGAAAAATGCTGAAAGCATGGGAAACTGTTGCATCGTACATTGAGATCCATCACCCTAATAAGGAGGTGGCTATTCGTGCTACAAATTTATTCAATGATAATGCTGTGACACGTTTTCGTCAAATTTTGAAGTGTCGGCAAAAAGAAATGTCTTTAGACAGTTTTCTAGTTAAAAAGGATTAATTATTTGTCTCAAGTTCATATTTTTATTTCAGTTTTTTGTTTCACATTTAAATTGTATTCCAAGTTGTTACACTCCTTAACAATTCATAAGATATTTTATTTGAATAAATGTTAATACAATTTTTTGAAAAATGAGTATTTTTTCAGCATGGAACGCATTATCGTATTTACATTGATTTGTATGGGGAAAATTGTTACGTTTAACAAGTGTTTTGCTTAACGAGTAAGATTCTGGAACAAATTATGCTCATTATGAGAGGTTCCACTGTATCTAGATTTGTCTTAAATAGAAGGATCATCAAATATATTGACCGTCTTGATATGTAGTTGCCGTCTTTCACTAATTTTAATCAGTGACAGTTAGGCCTACCATTGAGTACTCTTTTTAGAATGTTTTGAATTAAAAATGTGTCACAACAACACCCCTCCCCCCTCTCCCCCAAGAGATACCTGAAAGAAATGCAGCACACAACATTGATTTGATGAACAAGCCACCCTAATGTGACTCTGAAAGTCTAAAAGTAAAATATTGAAATATTTTCAAGTGTTGTTTAAGCAAGGCAATCAGTGCTTTTTGTTTTAATTAATTATTAGACCTTTAATCTTTTTGAACATCACCTTTGACCTTTTGTTTTGTATTCTTTTAATATTTTTTTTTGCAGTGACAATTGGCTTATTATTTAAAGATTAGTTACTATTATTATTGCTATTATTATTTTCTATAATTAAGCCTACTTGATATTAATTAATGCACAAGACAATCATATTTATAATCCATGGCATTTGCAACCAGTTCCATTTGTTCATCTATCCTTTGTTTTTGTCTTTGGTTAGGATGGACTTTATGCGATTTATGATACCATATTTTATAAATAGTATTCTATCTCTTTTTTTAAAATTTCAGGTGCACAAATTTCACCCTGGATCTGAACTCATTTAAATCAAGCTTGTAAAACTTTCATGGGGGTTGTCAGTATGACAGAACTTAATCTTCATACCATTGAGAGGAATCTTCCTCCAGCCGTAAAGTCCAGTTCCCCCGTGTCAAGATGCTGGGGGCGCATTGTTCAGAGCTATTCAGGTTACTGCAACAAAGTAGTTGATACACATGGCTTCTCTGTATTGGTTCATCTAGCATATACCAAAGGACTTGACCATATCTTTGAGGCTGATCAAATATTAAATGTAAACATCGCTAGAATTGTGAAGCTGCTCTCAGTCCTAGAAGAGAAACTGATGCCTCCGATCTTTCTGCTGTATGAGAGACTCAAGTTTTACGCCAGAGTCCGCGGGTCGGAGGAGCCTGTCTTGACCTACCTGACGTGCCTGGTGTGTTTAGCAGAATCCTGTGAGTTTGATGCGGATAAAGATTTTCAAATTAAGAAACAGTTTCTTAATTGCGGTAACCTGGGAACATCTCTGAAGGAAAAAATTCTTTGCGAACCTGATGTCAACACTAACCGATTATTTTGGCAGTTAGGAGAGTTAAGAGAATCAGCTGGTTTAGAAAACTGTGTTAACAATCAAACTTCAGGTTTGAATAAATATGATTCAGCCGTTAGCTATGAGGCAAAAAAAGAATTGTTTCTAGAAAAGTATGAAGCAGAAAGTCACAGAGACAAGAGTACACATTGTGACATGCCTGAAGGGCCTAAACAAAAAACAGTCACATCCCCAAAGCGACAATTACGGCCAAGTTATCAGAGACCAAAAATATCTGTACAAAATACTGACACATTGCAAATAGCAATTCTTGCCAGACAGAATCAAGATAAATGTCCAAGTGCGTCAGCTGATGCTCTTTCTTGTACTGAGAAAACTAAAAATGATGATAACAGAGTTCTTCTTGCATGCAGGTACTGCCATAAAGTGTACGCTACTGAAGATGGACTCAACACTCATATGAAGAGTCATGTTTGTGTATGTGAATTGTGCGGCATGAAATTTACATTTCGTCATCAGATGTCCAATCATTTGCAGGATCACAATGAACTAAACAAAACAAGACAAATCTTGCACCAACACAGAAATGGCAGACAATCTTACATTTGCCCAATCTGTCAAAAAAGATTTGATGTTAAGAGGAAGTTAAACCGCCATATGACCAGGCATTGCGACCTTGAATATAGATGTAATGATATGGACGTGCGCACGGGAATCAAGCCACATGAATGCCCGCAGTGTTCACGATCCTTCAGCCGCAAATGGGATTTAAAAATCCACCAAAGGACTCATGACCCCCAGAGGAAGAAGGAACACGTTTGTGATTTTTGCGGCAAAGAGTTCTTCAGGATTTTTGAACTCATCCGCCACCAAAAGCTACACACTGGGGATAAATCCTACACATGTGAGATCTGTGGGAAGGCTTTCACCACAGCCAGTTACTTAAATGGACACAGTTTCTTGCACACTGGGGTGAAGCAGCACACCTGCGACGTGTGCGGGAAATCGTTTTCTCAGAAAAATAACCTGGTCAGCCATATGGCAGTGCACAGTCAAACTAAAGATCACAGGTGTGAGTTGTGCAACAAAGAGTTTTCCAGGAAATGCTACCTGAAGCAACACATGAAGGCCCACTTGAAAGAAAAGCCTTTCGGTTGTGGAGTCTGCGGTACTCGCTTTGGATACAAGTTTTCTCTCCACCGCCATCTTCTGATACACGGGGGTACAAAACCATTTGAATGCATTCTGTGTGGTAAGACGTTCTTGTGGGAAAGCACCTACAAATCACACAGAAGGCACCATGAAGGAACATGACGAAAATATATCGAGAGATGAAGATGGCATAAACAGATTAAGATTTTTAAACATGTGCCTATTCAAGAAGGGTGCAAGAAAAAATTAAGGATTAAATCAAAAAAACTATTTCCCTTAGGTGACTTCCTGATGGCACTGATAAGCAACGCGCTGTGATTGTTGCAATATTTTACAAATAAATTATATGTCGTCACCTTGTGTTTTTCTGAATGTCTTTTTCAAAATTCTTCATTTTATCCTACATCAGTAATTTATTTCAACTTTTTTGTTTACCCTGTAGCTTATTTTTTTCTCTCATATACCGGTAGATATGTTTTTTAAACTACATTATGATTAACACTGATTTGATTGCTTAAGTTAAAAGAATAAAATAAATGTTTTGCTAATGTTTATAAAGAAATTATCCATTTGGTTAATTGGCTCTCTTCAAATACTTCATTTATTCTGTGCAATAAACATATGGTGTAGCACACACTCAGTTGTGAGAGTGGGCAATAAACATATGGTGTAGCACACACTCAGTTGTGAGAGTGGGCAATAAACATATGGTGTAGCACACACTCAGTTGTGAGAGTGGGCAATAAACATATGGTGTAGCACACACTCAGTTGTGAGAGTGGGCAATAAACATATGGTGTAGCACACACTCAGTTGTGAGAGTGGGCAATAAACATATGGTGTAGCACACACTCAGTTGTGAGAGTGGGCAATAAACATATGGTGTAGCACACACTCAGTTGTGAGAGTGGGCAATAAACATATGGTGTAGCACACACTCAGTTGTGAGAGTGGGCAATAAACATATGGTGTAGCACACACTCAGTTGTGAGAGTGGGCAATAAACATATGGTGTAGCACACACTCAGTTGTGAGAGTGGGCAATCAACATATGGTGTAGCACACACTCAGTTGTGAGAGTGGGCAATAAACATATGGTGTAGCACACACTCAGTTGTGAGAGTGGGCAATCAACATATGGTGTAGCACACACTCAGTTGTGAGAGTGGGCAATAAACATATGGTGTAGCACACACTCAGTTGTGAGAGTGGGCAATCAACATATGGTGTAGCACACACTCAGTTGTGAGAGTGGGCAATAAACATATGGTGTAGCACACACTCAGTTGTGAGAGTGGGCAATAAACATATGGTGTAGCACACACTCAGTTGTGAGAGTAGAAGTTAAAAAGTGATCTGTGTTTTAATTCTTCTCCTTATAACTGATAGAAGCCACCCGTCCCAGAAACAAAGGACTTGTCCGAGGAGTGAAGATCACATCGCACAATCATTGGTTCAAGGTTAAACAATTTAAAATGAAATCTGAACTTTTAAAAACTAAATTAAAGCCAGGTAAAAATATATTTTTTCAATGTTTCCTCGTAACCGAAGATGTAACTGAAGATGTAACCAAAGATGTAACCGAAGACGTAACAGAAGATGTAACCAAAGATTAATTTCTTAATATGCAAATTGACCTGAATTCTGTTTATGCTGCATTTTACTTTTATAACATACAACTTTTGAAGCTTATATTTATCTCATTTTATCACTTGATCTCAATGCTTGCACATTTGGTGATACCACGTAGTTCCAATTTTGTACTACTAGAATAGGGGTGGGCAAACTACGGCTCGTGGGCCACATACCGCCCGGCAACTGATGTTATGCTGCCCCCCAAGGGCATCTAGAAATTTAAAAAAATTACTTTGTTTTTAAGTTATCTTGTTGAATTTTACAGAATTTCATGTACCGTCATGATTGTTTTAACATTTTTCATAAAATTTCTTTCCAGTGTTCTATTTTTGTAAACAGTTCTTGACCTTCGTAATGTAATGCTAACATGGCAAAATATATATGCGGCCCTCTAATAGCTTTTCATTTGTCAATGTGGCTCTACGCACACAAAGTTTGCCGACCCCTGCACTAGAATATCTTCTTTGTCTTCACTGATCCTGACTCCAAGTGATGCATGATGCAGAAAATTACAACTAACATTATCTCCATTCAAGCCCAGTCAAATTCTTGAGACGGTCTGCCTCACAGATTCCATAACAGACACCGCCAAAAAAAAAAATACTTTTCTTAATCCCAGAGCTGGTGGTGGTGATGATAAATCCTTTTTTTTAAAAAAAAAATTAGGTCAGTTTCTCATGGTGCTGCTATTCTGTAGGTGCAGTAGTGTACATGATGCTTGAGGCAAAGATAGTTTTTTAAAAGAAATATTCAACATAAGCTCTCTTCAGTTTTTTAAAGGAAATATTCAACATAAGCCCTCTTCAAGGTTAAAATCAGTATTGTTAATTATTGTACTGGTATTGTTTATGGGATTACATAATAATTGAAATTAATTCAATTTTTTGTGTGGAGAATTAAGATAAGTTATAAAACGGATTACCCCAAAATTTAAAAAAAAAATTGATATTTACATCTCTTCTGCCTCTTATTTACAATCTTCTGCCTCTTATTTACAATCTTCTGCCTATTATTTACAATCTTCTGCCTCTTATTTACAATCTTCTGCCTATTATTTACAATCTTCTGCCTCTTATTTACAATCTTCTGCCTATTATTTACAATCTTCTGCCTCTTATTTACAATCTTCTGCCTCTTATTTACAATCTTCTGCCTATTATTTAAAATCTTCTGCCTATTATTTACAATCTTCTGCCTATTATTTACAATCTTCTGCCTATTATTTACAATCTTCTGCCTATTATTTACATCTCTTCTGCCTATTATTTACAATCTTCTGCCTATTATTTACATCTCTTCTGCCTATTATTTACAATCTTCTGCATCTTTATTTACAATCTTCTGCATCTTTATTTACAATCTTCTGCATCTTTATTTACAATCTTCTGCATCTTTATTTACAATCTTCTGCCTCTTATTTACAATCTTCCATGGTAAAAACAAAATGTAAACACTTCAATCAGTTCAATGACTTTACTTCTTTCTGAATATTGAATTCATTTTTCATTCATGCATCTTGTCTTATAATGAAATGAATGAAATCAGAGATTTGTTTCTCATTTACATTCACCACATGTGATTACATTGTGTAGGAACAGAGACTTTCAGTATGTATGAAAAAATAAGTACATATATTTACATATAAGATGTTGTAAAAGTAATCTGTCTCTTTTGTTAGTAGTGCAAGACGGTTGTCCATATACGACATCAAACATATGAGGTTTGGGATTGGTTAAATTTTAAAATATGACCGTATTGGGAATGTTTAATATAAATGTAAAAAAAGGAAAACTATTCCAAGTTTTTACATGATTCATGTATCTAAACTTTCAAAATAAATAATCAGTTTACACAATTTATGGTATTTCTATTTATTTCCTTGATTTATTTTTTGTTCATTCTAATAGAAAAAAATCTACCGGGCAGTCTTGAAACCGGATTGTATTCATTTTTTTACCAATTTCACTTGTATTATTCCGATTAAATCTGTCAAATTGGGGATCATTTTCAAAATTCCTTTTTTAAACCAAACCTAACCAGCACATGAGATGCTTTTGGGCACTTCCTGCTCTAACTGCCATTTCTATACAAAGATTTTAACAAACCCTGAGTGCATACCATGCACTTAAAGTATTTATTCAATCACTTATTACATCGCTGGAGTCACCATACATTACCACCATCTATACAAACACTTATTACATCGCTGGAGTCACCATACATTACCACCATCTATACAAACACTTATTACATCGCTGGAGTCACCATACATTACCACCATCTATACAAACACTTATTACATCACTGGAGTCACCATACATTTCCACCATCTATACAAACACTTATTACATCGCTGGAGTCACCATACATTACCACCATCTATACAAACACTTATTACGGTACAGCTCTGAATGCAAAATACACTTGCAAGCTTCTATAAAAAATATAATTTTAATGTGTAATTCCATTATTGATGCCATCAAACCACAAGAAAACCTTGCAATCAAGACAATCCTGATTTGAACAAAAAATCTCTTGGTGTCTTGTAATGGACTATGCAAATGATATAAAATTTTGTACTCATAGAAATGTCAAAATATTGTGCAATACTTTATTGTGCAGCAAAAAACCTAAAGACCATAGTATTATTGTATGTCTCCATATTGTTGGCTATATTAGCTAGTGAAAAGTTAGTTTGCTTATTCTTAATTTAGATGAACCATCACCCACCCGAAAAAAAGAATTTGAGAAAATTTTACCATATTACAAAAACCCATACAAATCAAAATTAATTATATTACTTTTAATGTATGGGTACCATGATTTGGATTGAGTGAAAAAAGTTACTTAGGTCAACATAGCTAACAGATAATATCTGAGTTCTTAATCACTATAGAGAAATTCCCATTGAAAGAAAGATCGGCTCTGCTGTATGCATTCTCTTGATTTCATGCTAACAATCTTTCAAAAGGTTAACATGTGTTGAATCCTTTGCTAATTGTATAACTTTTTTTTAATTGAAGTGTGCCATAGATTAGTTTGTAGGCATTTTGCATTTGTGTGCTGCTTCATAATGTCATGCTTTTTTTTGTCTCTGTGATGACAGAATTCATATGTATGTGGTTTACTTGTGTAGACATTAACAATAACAAGAAATTCGTATAAAATACACAAACATATAAACTAGCTGGACAGATACATTTGAAACTCTCAGTCAAGGCTCACAGACTTACTATAAACTACTGTAAAAAAAGTATAGTTTTATAAAATAGCAATATGATCAATGTCAACCGTTGCACAGATGCCAGTATATGGATGCAGCAACGAACACTACCAGAACTGTTGTACAAAAATCTAACAGTGGAAAATCCAGTGAAAAAAAAAAACATGATAAAATTAATAGTAGTTCTCTGGATCATTAAGTCTTTCTAATGAGAAAATATTTTTAGAAATTTGAGGTTAAATCTTGCACAACATTTGCTCTCTGCCCACAATGGCACACAGACGCACACACACACTCTGACACT